AGGACGTTGAGCAACGTTGGCATGACATCCCGGATAACGGGGAACGAATCATGAGGTAGGTTGCGGCAACAATTTGCAGCTGTTATTACAGCCGTACGCTGGGTGCTGGTGGGGAAGAAGTCTAAGTAGGAGAGACACGCCGTGAGGCCTCCTTCACGAACAATCGACGAAGGGAAATCAACGGAGATCTTGGCAAGTGTCTGTTACATGAAAAGATGATTAGTTCTGATGAAAATCGGATGCTTTGATGCTTGGGGTGCTAGAGGGATGAACACATACACTCAGAGCTTGTTCAGCAAGGTCTATGAACTGTATATCCAGCAACTTCTGACAAAGAACAGGTACTGCACCACCATAAACAACGTTTGCAACAGATCCCCGAAGGGCTTCCATCATGTTGGCCAAGCTACGACATGCAAGAAGCATAATCTCAGGATTTTCCTCCCCTGTCTCGCTGGGTTGCATGAGCCTCACGAGCTCCTTAACGAAAGGGTCAGGAGAAAATTGCCCCGCTAGGTTATCTTCATTGGAAACCAGCAACAGATCTGAAAGCTCCTGCAAAGCAATAAGTTGGATCGACGGATCTTCCGTGTTTCGTAGGTTATTGAGGATATCACGTAGTCGAGAGGATGTCCCACTCATCATGCCACTGAGAGCTCGTAGAGTATTCTGTAGGCCCATGGGGCTCCGGGTGCCGAATAGACCATTACGGAAAGGGTCCCCATCCTCCTCATCGGTCATACCAGATGGATGTGGACCCTCATTCGAATCACCCGAAGTGGATGCTTCCGTCTCTTTCGCTTCGGGCGTCTCCTCCTCTTGCTGATTTTCTTCAGGTTCCTTCATCGTAACATCTGATTCGCGTTTGGAAAGGCGATGTTTTCTTTGGCGACGTGAAGGGGAAGTTTGGGTGGAAGGAGCATCTGAACGAACATATCGCTGTTAGAATCAGTGTAGCTATTACCAAACAAACCAATTTATTCTGATAACACCACAATATCGCCCGCATACCTTGTGATGGATTCTTATTCCTACTGGGCCGCTGTCTAGGAGCAGCGGATGATGAGGCAGGGGTTTTTGAACTATCATCCGAGGGACGAGTAGGGGGGCTGTGCGGCAGTCAGTCAGTACGATACTAGCCCGGCATCTAATAATCAAGCATAAAAATTCAGCAGGAGCTTATGAATTCCAGGACATACCTAGGCTGGGACATTGCCGGTGGTTGTTGTCTGGAACCAACCCGTCTTTGAGACACAGAGGCTGAAAGGTCAGAAGATGATGAGCCCGTCAGTTTCACTCTTTTAGCTCGCCGGGGTGGGGACGCTGGGGGAAGCTGCGCCTGATCGCTTGAGGGTCTCGAGGGCCGCGTGGTAGTCGAGACTTTTCGTTTCCGGGCCTGTGGGGGTGGTGGTGGGGGTTGGGGAGGCGAAACGGTGGAAGAGGATGCAGGACGAGAGGTCGATGAGGGTGAGTCTGCCGCGAGCCGTGCAGCTGAGCGGGTGATCCTGGGGAACATTGAGAAGCTTAATTCCTTGTTCTCTTTGATGATAGCAACTCGGTAGAAGATCCCATGCAAGATAAGGGCACTAGATATAGGAGAATAGAAGAAGGGCCTCTTTTGCTTTCTAAGCTTCTACAATCGAGTTCGAAATGGGAGATTCCAAAGAGTAAGAAAAGCGGTAAGGAGGAAAATAAGGGAAGAGAAAGTAGGGAATTTGAAAAAAAAGAAAGACAGAAAGAAATGAAAAGAAAAGAAAAGAAAAAGTAAAAAGAAGACCAAAGAGGCGTATTAGAGAAGGAGGTGGAAGCTAGAGAGAATCTGGAGGAGGCAATACCTATGAGAAGAAGAAGGTGGAGAAGTCTCGAGAGAAGCTCCCGGAGCGAGACGGTAGGAATTAGAATCGGAGGCGGAGAAGGAGACAGAGGAGGCGGTGACAGCAGAGGATGAAGACTCCGGGATCAGTCCAGACTGTTCAGAAGGAGTAGCAGTTCGCTTGGCCATAAGTATGTTCACACACAGTGCCAGTCTTCAACCCGCCATCCGCAGTTCTGTTGGACCGAGGAGTGGAGGGTTGGATGACGAGCAAAGGTCGAGGGCGGGAGGCGAGCCGGGAAGACACAGAGCAGTGGGCGGTACTCGGTAAAGGGATCATTCAGCTGCAGAGGGAGAGAGCAGACAGTAAAGAAATATAGAGAGGCAAAGCGTCGTGGAGGGTGGAGGTGGTAAGTTGGAGAGTTGGAGAGTTGGTGTTGAAGAGATGATGAAGAGGAAGCGGTGGAATGTTGGGCGAGGAGGAGGGAGATCAGTTCGATGCAAGACAGCGGAACCACGACGGACTCACGCCAAGACCGCGATGGAGATAGAAGCAGCCCACAACCAACCAGCCTTTATCAGCCTTCATCAGCCTTCATCAGCCAGCGGGCAATGTACTACTACTACTGTACATAAATCGAAGATACAGCTTGCTGTTAAAACATTGGGAGGCAAAAAATGTACAGTAATATATAATAATAATAAAAATAATAAAAATAAAAATTAGAGAAGAAGAGCGTATCAACCCTCTCAAATCCAGCAGATGGTACGTTAGTTGATTGCGTCCTGGCGATGTTTGGTCCCCTCGCAAATGACGACAACTATAATAACTAAATAGTTAAAATATATGATATCCCCCTAAATTTGCCAACGCACTCAGGAGGACGGATGGATGGGATGGGCATTTTCTGTTCTTTTCGCCTTTTTACCATGTCGAATCAATCTTCTTCTCTCTCTTCATCCTTTTCATTGGCACTCACTCTCCAAACAAACCCCAATGACTGCCACATCCAACCTCTAGTTTTAATACTGGATAAGTGCAAGAAACCCAGGAAAAAGCTCTTTGGTCCGCCTATATTTCGACTTCTTTCTTTTAATCCAGGTCGTAGAATATGCGGGAGAAGGATCCACTAATAATAACAATAACCTTCCAATAATGTTACATAGTCAACTCTCCAATATGTCAATAGTTAAACAGAAACAGGAAAGTTAAACAGAAACAGAGGGAAGAACGCACCGCATTCTCTTTGTCTTGAAAAACTATGACTACGATGGACATATTTATTATTATTTAATTTCTTTCAGAACTTGCGTTGGTGATCAGTAGTGGGTTGTCCCAAGCCGATAGATGTAGTTATTGTATGTATGGCACATATTTACAACTCCTACGGGAGGAAGCCGTAATAAAATGAGGTTGCTTCCCCCAGCTTCCACCCGTCACGTCAGGCATCCTCAGCGCCCGTCATGCCTAAATAAATAAATAAATCATGGCCTAAAATACCACACACTAACCAACGCCTATGTTTGTGAACCCCGAAGCCCCCAACGCAAGCCCGAAACCGGGGGGGGGGATTTGAAGGTCAGAGGAGAGGATTTCTGTTGACATGAGATGAGGTCTCTTACACACATCCGATTCAATGTAGCATATCATATACATCGCCCGTGAGGGGAGTATCACGCGAGGAAGTTAGAAATGGCGTTTCTTACAAATATCTAGTTACCCACCGTGGACATCAAAAGACACCCCAGATAATGTTACACACCGCACAGTCAGTCTTCTCCTCCTTGATATTGAGCTGCATCTCAACTCATCATGCGGATTAAAATTGATTTACATGATCAAATGCCTAAGACAAAAGCATCCTATGTTCCAGGACTCTTGCCATAACTACATCTCAACGCTGGCAAGAGAAGCGTCAACTAGTTGATATTTAGCTATCTACGCCGTAGACATCGATCGCACTGCAATGGGAGTAGAACCAACAAATATTCCAATCTCTCATCATCATCGGCAGCTAATGATCATAATCGTGAAGAATTTTCCCCCGAACTATTTCTGATTCTAATGAACAGGTGAACAAACAACGACGACTCAGCTGATGCCAAAAGTCATCGCGCTGCAGCTCTACGTAGTAAGTCAACACGCAACAAGAAAACCGCTGGTGCCAGAAGATATGAATTAAACACGGATATTTAGCCAACTGCATGGAACTGCCCAAGATGTCTGCCTTGCTCCTAGGCAGGCAAAGGGTTGTCTAAGATCTCACTGACATCATCGTGTCACGTCTGGAGTGTTTAGTTGGCTAAATACTCGCTGCTGTCTGCAGATGTATTATTCAGGCCCCAGGCTAGTTTGATATCTGAATTTTGGCCCGCAAACGACTTCCAGAAGATGGAGGTTGCGCTGCCTTTGGAATAGTTACATACATAGCTATAAATATGCCTATATATTCTTGCGAAACGATTTGCCGCCCAGCAGCGAAAAGACGCGATATTGTACTCTACCTTATATCTGTTAGGATCGGTGCCTGAAGAAAGAGGAAGAACGGGCGAAAAAAAGAAAGGAGGAGTAGAAAAAGAAAATACAGTGGCTTGCTTCTACCCATGGCCTTGGTTTTTAAATAAACTCCGTTGTGCATGCTCGGGTTCCGTTCCCCCACCCGAGCAAATATTAGCATTTTATTTTACCCGGCCACAGAACATCGCGAGTTTTTGCTCCTCACCGGATCCAGCATCACCAACCCAACCACCACCAAATCCCAGCATCTGCCTGCTATTCTTCTTTCTCTTCTCTTCTCTTCTTTTCTTCTTCTTCTTCTTCTTCTTCTTCTTCTTCTTCTTCTTCTTCTTCTTCTTCTCTCTCCTCTCCCCTTCCAATTAAATACTCCCCACTACTCTTCCGCCTACTCCAGAATACCAGCGAGGGAATCCGACGAGAATCACAAATCCAACTCCAATTAAATAGGCCCCTCTCTCTTTCCTTCTCGTCCAGAGTCATAGATATATATAAACTCCCATCTTTTCTCCCGAAAGAAAACATTGCATTTTCGCCCTCTCCATCCTCTCTCCCCCCATCCCATCCCAAAACCCATCCTGCCTTATCCACAGTCCCATAATATAATCGCATACTATATGCCGATTCGATTCCAAGACCGGACAGTTCACGCATACTCCTCAACTCCCCTCCTCCGCCTCCCACCTCCACTCCCCCTCCTCCCCCTCCCCCTCCCTGATCCCGATCCCTCCACCCTCACCACACTCGCGTCACCAGCGACACCATGGTTGACGCCGACTATGCCCTAACCAGTGCCGATGTCGATGTCGATGTCGAGGGCAAAGGTAACGGCAACAGAGTCGCCCTCCCGCCCATGGACCCGGAATCCTACAAATTCCCCGACCACAGACTGAAAAAGGTCATGTCCGACCCGTCCAAAACCCCGCTCCTCCTTGTGGCCTGCGGCTCCTTCTCGCCGACGACGTACCTGCACCTGCGCATGTTTGAGATGGCCGCCGATTACATCAAGTTCAGCACGGATTTTGAGCTGATTGGCGGATACCTGTCACCTGTCTCGGATGCGTATAAGAAGGCCGGTCTGGCAAGCGCGGTACATAGGTATGTGTTTTTTCCTTCTTCTTATTATTATCCAAATTGCTATTTTTTTGTTCTAGTTTTAGTTTAATTCTGCCCTGGCACTCCCTCCCCCTGTCAAGTCTACCTATGAAATGGTGCTGACGCATAATCTCCTCTGGTACGTAGAGTTGCCATGTGTCAACTGGCTGTGGAGAAGACATCGAATTGGCTTATGGTCGATCCGTGGGAGCCAATGCAGAAGGAATATATCCCCACAGCAAAGGTGCTAGATCATTTCGACCATTACATAAACGAAGTACTGGGTGGCATTGATACGGGCGACGGCACGCGCAAACCAGTGCATGTGGCTCTGCTTGCCGGCGCGGATCTCATCCATACGATGTCTACACCAGGTGTGTGGAGTGAGAAGGATCTAGATCATATCCTTGGACGATACGGGGTGAGTCCCGGTTTTTCTCTTTCTTTTTCTTTTTTCTTTCACAAGGATATCCCCAATACTGACACATGTCCATATAGACCTTCATTGTTGAACGCGCCGGCACAGACATCGACGAAGCAATAGCCAGCCTGCAGCCCTGGAAAGAAAACATATACGTAATCCAACAATTAATCCAAAACGACGTCAGCAGCACAAAGATCCGCCTCTTCCTCCGGCGCGAGATGAGCGTCCGCTACCTAATTCCCAGCCCTGTCATCAACTACATTGAGAAACACCACTTGTATGAAGATGAAGGGTCATCGTCTACTACTGCTACTACGGCAAAACGGAAACAGAACAACAACAACTTCGACCCTGGTTCTCACCAAGATAAGGGGAAGGGAAAGCAAGAGGACATGACGATGTCCTATGAAAATGATAGGCCTAGTGGATGAGATGATATGATATATTCTATGATGATTATGATTTTTTCTCATCCCGTCACCTGACCACCCAGGCCCCCTCGTCCCCAACTATCCTTTGTTTTCAACGAACATGTTACATTGACGTACATATGCTGGGGATGCCTCCCCAGGGACGGACATGGTGTTCTCGTGGGGTGGTGGGTGGGGAGTAGCAATGCCGGCGGTAGGTGGGATAGAAGCAGCGGGGATTAATGAGATGCGGTATGGTTTTAATGGATGTATTTTTTTCTTCTTGTCTTTCTCGTCTATGAGATGTATGAATGTATGAATATGAATATGCCTTCCATCCGGTTCCTCACATGCTTGGCATTGGCATGTTTGCATATTGCATATACGTATATATTCATACATCCGTCTCTACACTCAATGGGCAGAAAAGAAAGGAGCACGAAAATTTTAAAAAATAAAGTAAGGCAGCCCGACCAACCACACAGACGCACGCGGACCCAGGAAGCCAGCCGCAACCGTACCGCGCCCGCACCCGCACCCGCTACACAGCAACCCGCTACACAGCACCCGCTACACAGCACCCGCTACACAGCACCCCCCTCTGCCTTTTCTTCCGAGTTGTTTCCACCTCCCTCGATTACATAAAGGCAATTCATTAAGCCCCAACCGATCTCACAGCTCCTCATTGCTCGATATCCCTCCCTCCCGATACAACAGCCCATAGAATGAAAAACGAACGAGAGCAGAACAGGACCGGGATAGCGACAGGGCGGAGGCACAAACACGAAAAGGGAAAAATATGTCATAAATGATGGAAGCGATACTGTTATTCTGTTATATATATATTTGTCTTCTCCGGTTCTCACGCTTTATAGAACCCCTAAATCTAAGTCATCACTCCCCTCCTCTGCCTTCCACACAACAGGCAGCCGCGCAATGGTTCGAACCACCTCGCTGCTGGTATTAATGGTTGATGGAGGGAGGTAGGGAGGGTGTTTGTTGGTTTACTCTTAACGATTTCAATACATGCATCAAATGGGGCGGATGGATGGATGGGTTTGTGTAAGGTTATATATTTCCTACTCTTTCATCATTGCTTGTTCTTTATTATATGTTTTCTGTTCTTGGTTTTCTCACTGTTCTAGCTGGTGTGATTGCGGGTAGGTGGTAGAGCGTATTTTTCTCTGGCGAGCATATCTTAGTGATGGCATTGGCCGGGATGCGATGTCGGTGTGGTGTTGATATAGATTTAAATTATATATATTAATTTTCGAAGTGGGGAGAGGAAGAGTGAGTGACAGCTTATCTAATCCCGCTGCAATAGCCTATGGCCTCCTGCCCCGCCATTTCCACCCAGACTTTGCCCCTGAATTCGTTATATATATTATTATTATATATATATACTCTGTCCTCTCCTCTTTATCTCTCCTCTCTCACTCTCTCTCTCTCTCTTCTTCAATCCTTTCGTTTGTTGGACTCTACTTATTCCACACGTGATTCTTCTACACCAATTGCCTGTCACTCAACTTGGGGTAGTTAGTTGAAGTTTTCGTCCCGAGGTACGTACGTCATTAATAAGGATTCTGCGCGGGGGTGGTGCGTGTTCATATCCACTTTTTCGCATATTTTTACCCCCGTTGTACTATATATCAATGCGATCCCCATCTCATCTATCTATCTATCTATCTATCTATCAAGCAAGCAAGCAAAGCTACAAAGCTACAAATCTACTAGGTTGTGGCGGTGTTCTGGTCCCGGGACTTGGGTGGTAGATTGTTTCTCCTCCACTGCCCATTGCTGTTCTGATACATGTACCAAAGCATTGTGATATCATCAGTGTCTACGGGAACGAAAGGTGCTTGGTTTGGGAGGATTGGCTTCGTTCTCTAATTTGTTTGAAGAGTACAGGAGGGAAGGGTGCTTGGTTTTGAGCTTTTCTACTTTTAATTTCATCTTTTTTTTTTTTTTTTTTTTTTTTTTGTCATATTCCGCCTGGTCCTTGCTGAAGGTGACCTGAAGCTCCCTAACTAGCAACTAACATCAAAAACAAACCTATAGATAATCAATTAACGGCGTATTCCTCAATTGAAAGGCCAAGTGCCTGCTCTGTACAGACTGCCAACCCTAGCATTTGTTCGAGGACGGTAACAGTCGAAGCGACACCACAGCCACCATGGGTTCGACTGAATTGCCAGCTATGAAGACGAAGCCGAAGGTCATCTTCTTCACGGACTTCGATGGCACCATCACTCTCAAAGATAGTATGTCTCCTCTTCCTGTCCTGCATAATCACTTTTTTTTTTCCTTATCAGTTGCCAGCTCTGGTGGTGTATAAGAGCACATTTTCGAGGTCGAGGCATACATGTACATCTACCATGCCAGCTGGAGAATGAATGGGAAGATTTTTTCTAATATGACTCTCTACCTCTTTGCTTTTTGTTCTGGTGGTGGTGTATAGGCAATGATTACATGGTACGATATATGGATTTTATCCTTGTTATGGCTCCCCTTTTATTTTATAATCCATTATCTTCCAAAAATTTGGGATTGGGGACGCAGGGGGATGAATTACCTACCTACGAGGTGGAGGAAAAAAAAGAGGAAAATTGCTAACATTCTTGAATTAGACCGATAACCTGGGTTATGGACTGGAAAAGCGCCGTCAGGGCAATATCGACGTCCTCGAAGATAAAATCACGTTTCGGTATGTACTCCGCTTTTCGCACATACAGCTCGATTCTCATTCAAAAAAATGGAAACTGAATACCAATATCGCTAACACGATCTTAAACCCCCTTCCAGAGACTCCTTCCGCGAGATGCTTGACAGCGTCAAGACCCCCTTCAACGAATGCATCCGCATCCTCCTCGAAAACATGGAGCTCGACCCGCACTTCACCGAGTTCTACAACTGGGCGCGGGACAACAATGTTCCCATTGTCATCCTGTCCTCCGGCATGGTGCCCGTCATCCACGCTCTGCTCGTCAAGCTCCTCGGCCATGAGCCGGATAATATCCAGATTGTTGCCAACCAGGTTGCGAGCAGGGATGGGAAGGATATCAATTCTGAGGGCGGCTGGCAGATTGTTTATCATGATGATAGGTGAGGAGCTTTTTCTTTTTCTTTTTTTATTCTATTATTATTAGGTTACCAGTGGGAAAACAACAAATATTCTAATTCGATCTACCGCCGCTCGTAGCCACTTCGGCCACGACAAATCCATCGAAATCAAACCATACGCGGCCCTACCCGCAGGCGAACGGCCCACACTCCTCTACGCCGGTGATGGCGTTTCGGACCTATCAGCAGCGTCCCAGACGGACCTGCTCTTCGCGAAGAAGGGGAAAGGTATGTAGATAGACCCCTCCCTCTTACCTGGACGCCCACCCAATTCTCACATATATTTTTATATAGACCTAGTAACATACTGCCAACGCGAGAAAATCCCCTACACACTCTTTGAGGACTGGTCCACTATCCTGCAGACGACCAGGGATATTTATGAGGGGAAGACGGACCCGAAGTCAGTTGCGGCGGCGGGTGTGTGAGTAGCGAAATGGGAGGAGGAGTTATGCGGTGTATGGTATCGTATATACTACAGTAGATATTCATAAAGAGATAGGTAAAGAGAAAGAGAGTGGAGAGGGGATCGGCAAAATCTGCGATATCTGTCTTCTGGTACTGGTATAGAATTAGATACCAAGTTTTAGAGTAGAGGGTCCCCTTGTGTTTTCGCTCATCTTCACATTTTTGAAAGACTGGAAATAGATATACAATACAAATCTCTGGGTGAGATTATATGACTCTATTCATATGAATAAATGAATAGAATGTTGTGCTATATGACTTTCTATTTTCTCTACTTATTGTATATAGCATCAATTCATGAAAATATGTTAACATATAAATATGAAATGATTCTGCTTCTTAACTACTAGTAAAGCTGGCTGATAGTAATCAAGCTCTTTTACCTTAGTGTTCTACGATATATATATTTTCATTGAATAAAAAATTCTGTTAATTGTTATTTATTTACAGTCATGATCGCGTTCTACCATGTTCAGCTCTCTGTATAAGACAATCTGATATCTGATTAATAGCATAGTATTTTGTAAAGGAATCCGATGATGCACTCATGGCAAGTCACGTACGGAAAATGAGGTATGATAACAAGGGAGTAAGTACTATAGATGAAGTTGGAAAAAAAAAAAAAAAAAGCTGAAATGCAAGCCCCTGAAACATGGAGCGGGGGGGTGCCAAACTGGTGAGCATCACTCAAACCTAGGGACAAAAAATAAATAAAAGGTAGCACCAGGGGACGTGGCTGATGGGGTTATGTACTATTTAACTACTTGTAGAACAACGGGTTCACAAAACCATCTGCCAGGTAACCATCCGCGACCGCAACGCCTTCAGCACCCCAAGCGGCAGCAGCTTCCTATCCACCAACTCCAACCCGCCAAAGTTCTCAAACACCTCGTCCGCATAGAAGTTGATCGTCCACGCATGCTCCTGCGACATTGTGAGGGGGTTTATATCGGGTAAACCGCCTCCACCAACTCGCCCACCACGCCCGTGTCCATATCCACGCCGACGTTCACCTGTACGACAGCCCAGGCCCCCGTTGCCGGCCTCGTAACTATCCACCGCGGCACGAAGAGCCCTATCCACCCGCGACGGGTGCTTAATGGTCATTTTCCTCGGCGTCTCCATGAGGAACTTCCACAGCCGGAAGAACAACTCGGATGAACACTCGCGCCAGCGGACATACTCGTCAAATGAGAAGAAGGTCTGCGCCTCCGATTTCCACGGCAGGACCGCGGTGGAGACGTGGTCGTCGCCAAAAGTGCTGTCGGTCTCGTCTTTGAAGGAGGAATTGTAGCGGCGACGCCGCTGGTGTTCGCTGAGCGAGAGGAATTGCTGCTTCGCTCGCTCGTAGGTGTCGCGCTCTTCTTGGTGGAACTCGCGAAGGCGGTCCGCGGTGTCTTCGCAGAGATTTTCGCAAACGAGGAGGAGCGGGGTGAAAGGGTTTAGCAGCCCGAGGCCGCCGAGGGTTTCGGGGAGGTAGAGGAATGCGTCCGTTACGGGCGTAGAGGGGTTGAAGCGGGTGGAGATTGTGTTTGAGAGGTATTCTGTGACGGTTTTGGCGCCTTTAGAGTCGCTGAAGAGGTAAGATTGGATGCGTTTGTGGGCTTCAAGGGTGTTCTTGACGTGGGAGCGGCCGAAGCAGTTTGCGGGACTGCCATTTTCAAGGTCGGCTTAGTTATTATTTGAGATAGGCGGTGATGACATGCATATATGGGGTGGATGAAAATACTTACTCTGCAAACGTGTAGCTGAAGAATCGTCCAATGCAGCTATTCCATGTTTTAATCCATTCCAACACGCTCTTGCAGCCAACAAGTTGCTTTTGTAGCTGCTTGACATGCTCCAGCACATGCTCTTGGTTAATTTCCCAATTGCCAGATTTGGGATCAAGGACCATAAAATTCATGACAACAGGACCCTTGGGCAAAGCCTTGACAATCTCGGGCTTCTTAGACCGCTGTCCCTCGACAAAATAAACGGAACCTGTTTTATTCTTGTTAAACTCCAAGCCCATGACCCTGGCAAATTCTTCCATCGCCTGCCACGCCTTTGCACAACGGCCAGGCTTCCCGCACAGCCAAAGGTCGTCGTGGAAGCGATAGAGGATCATGCCAGTGTGCTGGTTGACAGCTAGATCCATGAAGAACATGACGATCTCGCCCATGAACTTCTCAAAGATATGCGCCATGGGGAGACCACGCTTGCGGGTGCGCACTGGTTTTCCGTTCAGCATGTTCAACGGGGGTTCCAGTACTTTCTTAAAGAATGTAATCCACTCTTCCTGGAATCCCATGAATCTAAGCACGGCAAAGATGCTGCTGTGCGCCAGGCCTGTTGCAAACCATTGGAAATCGCTCTGGACTACGGCGGCCTCCCCGTCAAGCGAGCGTCGAACGAGGAATTCTGTAGCCAACGCGCGGAGTAGGAGCTGTTTGATTTCCTTGGGGTTTAATCGGTCACCTCTGCTGTCGTCAGATGCGTCATCATCATCGTCATCATCATCGTCATAACCCCTTGCTTCCTCGTAGCGCGTGGAGGGCAGTGGTGAGAGGAAAAAATGTTCTCGGTAAGTTTCCTGACGATCCTGCTCAGCATTTGTACCGCGTGCCAAAGCGGAATGAGCATCAACACCTAGGTAATATCGCCTCCTCGCTAGATCCTCTTGTGGTATCCTAGAATTTTTCTTCCAGACCCCTGCGTGACTTTGGATGTCCTGGAGGAAGCGTTTAAGCTGGACGGCCCAGGTTGTTCCAATCCAGTGTGTGAAGATGGCGTGAAGCACATCATCATCCATCATCACTCGCCATTTCCCGTTTGCACTTTGGCGGCTATTTGATACATATTAGCACTGTTCTTCGGAGATAACGGCACTTACTGTGTATGTCATCAGGAATAGGGAGTGAGAAACTTACGGCACAACAGGCATGCCTTGGTCGCCCATGCCCCACGACCAGTTCTGGATATTTGCGTATCTCATATTTAAAACGTCTTTGATCTCATTAAGAACGTCGTCGTCCCTGAGAAAATCACGAAGACTTGCTTTCTTCTCATCATCAAACAAGTCCACTTTTAGCAATGACTTGATGCACCATTGTAGGCTCTGGTGATCAAAGAGAGTTTTATTTCCCAGCATTAATTCCCCTTCCCATTTGACCTGCTCTCTCAGGGACTTTAAGGAGGCTTGGCCGGCTTTCGATGAGAATAATTCATTGAGATAGTTGTCAATTTCCACCTCGTCCGTCTCAAGAGGCCTCAGGACCACTGCCTCAAATTTATCGCGCAACTGCTGTAGCCTCTCTTTCTGAATGTTCTGTACGACTTCGAATGAATCCTCTTCCAGCGGCCCTTCCGACTTGGTGGAGGCAGGGGGCGAAGATTCCTCGTTCGCACCCTTGGGTGCATCAATCCATTCCAGTAAAAGCTTCGAGTACAAATCAGCCAAATTGAGTTTACGAGATTCGGCTTCCAGCTTTGCGCGCAGCTGCTGTTCAAATTTATGAAGCATGTCCTCATTGACTGATGGATCGTAAGCGGACTGATGAACCCAGTGTTGTATCTGGCTTAGCTGGCGTAGGTCTGCGTCACTCCAAATATCCAGCTCTTTCATGCCATCGTGCAGGCGAGTAACTCGCTCGCGACTGTTTTCGCCAGCACTCTCGACATTTGCTAGGATCTTGTCTTTATGTTGCTGGTAAGTCTGGCGCTTTGTCCCCAGCTCCTGAACCTTGGTTACGGTAATAGACTGAAGGGTCTGGGAGAGAATTGAGGAAGGGGCCATAACGGGTAAAATTCTGGTAGTTGTGGAATTAAGCGTGAGAGAGAAAATTGGTCAAATATTATATTGTCTCTTCTGCTTTCCGTGCTGTTGTCGCCTGGGATCTTCCTTGTTGGGGAAAATTGAGGCCCTCTTATAGCAAGAAAACCAATCAACAGCGCAAGAGCAACATCAGCAGCTCTGAGAAGACCCCGCGATTTGTGGCGTCTGTTGCCTAAGTATATACCTCTAGCATCCCGCGTCTTGTCACAGGGCTAGGAGGTTAGACAGCAGCCATTGGCGGGAAGTCCTCTGAAAATGAGGCTCCGATTCTGCATCATCCCTGCGGAAAGGGTGGTGAAGGGGAAATGGAAAGGTCTCGTTCATTCGAATTTCCTGAAGCCGATGCATGGTTTGATCGCTTCCAATAATGCTTTTTCTTCACGCAAATGAAATTCAGAGGGAGCGAAAGGGGCGCTGGTATAGGCACCTAAATAAATATAGCGCCCTGCTGCCTGGAGCGTAGCAGGGTTGATCGGGGCCATTTCCTGATAAATGACTCACCCAGCACCGTCTTGGGAGACAATCCCGAGAAACTCCTGCGACCTAGAACAGTGCAAGAGAGATGAATCCTTCATCTCAGCATCCTCCAGAACTTCAAGGAATACAAGCACACCCTGGCCATTCATCAGGGAAAGGGTTTTCTCTGCTGCACACTGAAAACAGCCTCCATTCATCAGGAGATGGTGTCAATTGGCCCGGTGAGGCGTCGAGGAACGTGGGCGTTTAGCACGCACCGGCGCAAGCTTTGGAGAAGTTATCAATATATGCGTCGCGCGAACATCAGTTCCCTTTTTGAATGATATTGAAAACTTTTGACAGAATGGTTAAAATATTGGAAGAGGAGGACCACTATTTTGGTATTAAATACTAAGACCCTTACATAAAATACCACCATGTCATGATTCTTCTCACACCTGCGACTTGATATGTAAGTTAGTTAAGGCCATGTATTTTAAATCCTAGTAGTTGTTCAACTGGGCAAAGCCACCGTGGGGATTGAAATTACCAATACTTGCATTCTCAAACACTCCATACATATTTTTTGCTTTGGAAATTCTAAATTCCAAATATAGAACGAGTGAACTTTTGCTCAGAAGCTATAAGATAGCCTCCAGGGGTTCGTTCTGCCACTGGTATAATTGACTTTGCTCTTCAGGGGTTTTATTAAACCAGGTTTCCTCCTTTGCCAACTCTATATCGAAATAGACATAGGCTAAAGAGTTACTCCTGAAATTCTCTAAATGAGGGATAGAGGCAAACCGGTTTATATCCATCCAATTCTTCAGTAACCAGTCCACAGAAAAGCCCCCCCGCGCGAATGGGCAATTTAGCGGACGGAAGAAAAATCTAAGTTAAATTCTGTGTCCACGGGAAGAGACCCTTTGTCAAAGACCCCAACCCAAAACTACGAGGCTGGTTTCCATTTTTGACAATCCTCAGCCATTTTTATTAACAAGACTTCGCACGCAACCCGCTCCATGCGCAGCAAGTTTCTGGTTTCCGCCGGCAAATGACCCGAGTTTTGAAGCTCATGGTCTCATCTGGTGAGAATTGAAAGTTCGGCATCCAACGACACCAAGCGAGGAACAAAACTGTAGATATTGTCTAATGTATCTGGGCAACGCGGGTTACCTGCTCGGCTGTCTTGAATTGGTTGTCTCTCGTTAGCAAAGTAGGGCCTGGACGGCGCTCCAGTCGCAAGTCGAACGATCTTGCTGATAGTGCGACTGAGATTCGTATTCAACAAAGTGTTAACCATATGTAACCGCAAATCTATGGTTAACCGCAAACAATGAGTTCATTTCTTCGTTGAGGGGAACGGAATGTGTAGAGGATTGAGAGTTCATGGCTGGGTCTGAGGGGGACGAGGGAGAGGGATGGGCTGATCGTAGCCTGCCTCTAAATCACGTTATCTGATAACATCCGAGCCTCCGTTCGTGATAACCCGCAAAAGGCTGAGATTCTCTTTCAGACTTCAACACTGGATTAGCTCTCGGTAGCCGGGGGTTCCTCTGCACAACATGCCGACTCATCTTCAAATGTCCGAGGCAGTGGATCGCGCGAGCCGGGAGATTGGTATCCTCTTTCAACTGTTCTGATTATCTTGATGGTGGCGTCTCGCATTGGCGAACTCTGATGTTCCTGTGCCTTGCTATCTAGACTTCAATTCTCCGTGTATAACCGTCAAAATCGACTGTCTTTCTCTCTCAGGGGAGTTTAAGGTTGGTGGCAATCGCCTTCGATGCCTTGCTGGACATGACTCGAGAGAGTTGAGGAACGGGCAAAAGCCTCTCGTACCGGCGTCGTCCAGTAGCTCAGGTCCATCCAAAAATGGGCACAATTTCGCACAACTATGAAGTCAAGTTTGTTTGTTGATAAGCAAACACGATGCCATGACCCAGAATGGCGGATCGAAGCAATGCCTCACAAACGAGAGACCACTGATGACGTGATATTTGACATTTTCAGTGCTTTGCGGGGTAAGTAAACCCAGCACATCAACAGTCAGAAAATAGAACCGGGCCCATAGAATATCGAGCATTGAACCCTGCATCAGTTCATGGTCAGCCCCAATCTGATAACGCATCGGTGGTGGCAATGGACATGCCAGCGCGCAGGGGTCTCTTTTTCTCCGGACAAATGAGTTTGCTTGCCTGGGTATGAGGATGGACTTAAATCTTCCTCGGTAAAAGGTGTGTGTGTATACTAGTAGAACTTAGTTTCTTCGAAGCTGCAATTCCACCCCTCTTCAAGTCGATGTTCTCTGTACGGAGTATGTTCCTGACAAACATGACGGGGCGAAAGCCTTCAAGCTCGTGTTAAGGCACGAGCTAACGGATGCTAGCGCTGCATTAGCGCTGATTTTGCCCAGAAACTTCTCCCGTTTTTCTATTCTTTGCTTTTTTCTTGATCGTTTTAAAATTGTCTTGCTCTTTTTTTTTTTTTTTTTCTTTTCCGGCGCGCAGACAGCTTGCCCCTGCCCCTGCAAGTCACCGGAGGACAAGCCAGAATTGAGCTTAGCCCCGCCCGGAAAAATGGAAAAAGAGAAGCAAAGATCCCAGAGAGATATTCGGAGCTACTTGGTGCATGTATGACATCTTTTGTTACCGGGCGGATAGTTCAAGCAACCTAGAGTTTAGGAATCAGGCTGGTAAATTCCCCGTAAAAGGACCAAGGACCATTTCTGGACCCTTTCCACCGCCCCTCCTGTAGCGGGAAGCTCGGAAAGTCTAACCAACCTCCGCTTTTGCCCCGGGGGGGGGGGGAGAAGAGCATCTTCTGTGGTTTAGCTAGCTATCCACCCACTAGGCAGTGGGCATGGGCTAAAATCAACTACAAGAATGGAGCAGCCAAGCCGTAAACTCGCTACTCAGCCAGGGTGGCCGCGACTCAAAGAGCCTAAGACCTGCTGTCAAAGTTATGGGGAGGGAAGCTAGAGAAAGAGACTGGGATACAAAATATCAAAATATTTCTTGATGTTGTGAGATAGTAGAGATAATTAACTAGTAGACAGTAGCTTAGTAAGGCTGCCATCCGCCCCGGTTCGGCTATAGCCCGGTTAAGCCGGTAGCGGGGGGAGATTAACCGACCAAGACGCCGAAAGTGGGATGGGACGCTTACATAACACACACGCTAACGCCTAGTAGGGAAGGTCGGGACATCTCGTCAATAATAATACTCCTTCAACCACTACTACTATACGGAGTACTACTATATACTATAGTATGCTACTACTAAGAGTGACAGCTCAGTAGTCTCCAGTAGTCTCCAGTAGTCTAGTTGCACTGCTACACTTGACTCTTGAGCGCTTTTGCCTGATCCATTCTCTCCAGACCTTCCCCGCACAGCGCTGGCAGCTGTTAACCCGAATGGGGAAACGATCCTGCGCGAATGTTTGCAGCCATGACAATCCCACGCCTTGGCTGACGATCACAATTGACCCTCGCCCATCATGGACTTGGCATGGACAGAGTGATGGCCGGCCTGAACAAGGCTCAATGGAGAGAGCTCCTCCCGATTGCGCTTGTCCACCCAAAATGAACAAGCTATACAGAAAACATGTACCGTTCAGAAGAACCAGTGTCACGAATCGGCTTCAGTTGCGCTACTATCCAGCGCATATGTGCAGGACGGAACCATTGGGTGGAGGAAAACCCGACTGGCTACGGACTTGCCGGTCAATCAGCCAGCATCCGAAAATTTCTCCTGCCGATGATCCCACCGCTTGTTTCTCGCCAGCCTATTAAGTTACAGGCTGCCGCTAGCGTGCTCCACTCCAGCGACTACTGGACGTTCTCGGTACCTTGTCTGCCTGCTCCAGCATCACAAACTTCCCCGCACGCACACGTTTGCAGTTGTTCACTACTGCAACCTGCGCTAGGATTTCAGTGGGGATGCGAACATGGGCGGCGGGCACCTTCGAGAAATTCGATGTCACGATTCCAAGGAACGAGCGGCCAGCTGCGGCCAGTTTCCTGCTCTCGTCGCTTCTTGCATCCCCCGCATCGAATTCCTGTCCGCTCTGGAAAACACATAAGAAGCGCGGGAAACCCCCCCTTCCCCTTGTCTTCTGTTCTCCATCTCTCCTGTCACTCGCAAATCGAAATACCAGGATAGCCCATCATGCAGTTACTTGCGCTCTCCTTGCTGGCCGCTTCGGCCTCCGTGGTGGATGCTTGCGTCAGCGATCATCTCATGGATAGATCGTTCGACACGAGACAATTGGACCTTGTCAAACGGGATAGCCAACCTCCCCCACCCATCACCGAGAATGAGTCGATCTTGATGAACTCGTTCGACAACGACACAATCAGCGATTGGCTATACTACTATACTCATGGCCTTCACGTCGCCGGCACCAACAAGACCATGGCTCAATGGACGGCCGACAAATGGACTGAATTCGGAGTCCCGTCAACCCTGGCCGATTATCACGTCTTTTTGAACTACCCAGTCTCCAGCTCGCTGTCCCTGACCCTCCCCGACGGCACTGTCGTGGACGTGAATCTGGATGAAGATGTCCTTGAAAAAGACGACACCTCCAGCTACCCCAATCGCGTTCCAATCTTCCACGGTTACTCTGCTTCAGGTGAAGCAAAAGCTGAATTTGTCTATGTCGGCCGCGGGCAACAAGTTGACTTTGACCGCCTTGTTGAGCTGGGTGTTGATCTCAAGGGTAAAATCGCCCTATCAAGATATGGCGGCCCCTTCAGGTAAGAATCCACAAAATCATTGTTCCCTGGACAAATAAATTTTCCCACAGTCGACTGACCCGCGTACACAGAGGTTTGAAAGTCAAGAATGCCCAAGATTATGGCATGATCGCTTGCGTCATCTTCACAGACCCTGGTGATGACGGTAATGTGACTGCAGCAAACGGATACGTGACTTATCCCGATGGACCTGCCAGAAATCCTTCTTCCGTTCAACGTGGATCTGTTCTGTTTTTGTCCACTGCTCCTGGTGACCCCACTACCCCGGGCTATCCCTCCAAGGAAGACTCTCCTCGTGCTGATACTAGTCCTGTGGTCCCAAAAATCCCATCGTTGCCGATTTCCTATGCCAATGCACAGAAAATCCTGATCCACTTGGATGGACATGGTCAATCCGCTGACGCTGTCAACCGAACCAAGTGGGTTGGAGGCCTTGATGTTGATTATTCTACCGGCCCTGCTCCTGGCGCTGAGCTCTCCGTGTCCAACATTATGCGCGACGAGGTTCGCCCGATCTATAACCCCATTGGAATAATTAACGGCACAAAGCAAGACGAAGTCATTGTGATTGGCAACCATTGGGATGCTTGGGTTATTGGCGGAGCTGTCGATCCTAACTCTGGATCAGCTGTTATGGTCGAACTTGCAAAAGCGCTCGGAAAACTCCAGGAGACTGGATGGAAACCAAAGAGAACTATGTAAGTGAATAATTAAAACACACTGGAACCCTGTAACATTCAAGAGCATCGCCATGCTAACTCATTTCTTAGTGTTCTGGGCTCCTGGGATGGTGAAGAGTACGGCCTTCTTGGCTCAACTGAGTGGGTTGAAGAATACGTATGCGAGACACTCCGCCATCTCATAACTCTCCCCAATTACCGGTAAACTGGCTAACTATAAGTCTTCTTTTATAGGTTAACTGGCTCAAGGAAACTTGCGTGGCCTATGTTAACATCGACTCCGCTGTTTCCGGCCCCCACCCCGGCTTGTCTGGCACCCCCGGTCTCCACGAGCTTTCCATCGAGCTCATGAAGAAGGTTGCCTGGCCATACAAGGGAGACGAGAGTCTAACCATGTACGACATGTGGATGGCTAATAGCAAAGGAAGGGTTGGTGTTTTGGGAAGCGGCTCTGACTACACCGCATTTGTTCACGCCGGTATTCCAGCGGCAAGTATCCCCTCAAAAGTCCCTAGAAAATTAACAAACATGATTAAATCCATCCAACTAATACTTCCCATAGGTGAACATTGGCTCATCCAGTGGTTCGGGTGACCCCATCTACCATTATCACTCCAACTACGACTCCTTCTACTGGATGGACACCTTCGGCGACCCCGGATTCGTTTTCCACAAAGCGATGGGCCAGTACCTGGCTCTGCTCACCTACCATCTCGCCTCTGACGACATCATTCCATTCGAAGTGAACAACTACGGCCGAGAGTTCGCCAAATACCTCGTCGAGCTTAAGAAGACCATTGAATCTTCCACCGTCACTCTCGATCTGTCCCGCCTCGAGGCTGCCATTGATGTCTTCAACAAGGCTGCTGCTGCAACCACTACATTGAGAGAGGAGGCCATCAAGGCAAACGATGCGCGCCTTGTTGACCTCGTCAATGCCAAGTTCCGCGACTTCGAGAGAGGCTTTGTTAGCCAGGGTGGATTGCCCGGCCGAATTTTCTTCAAGCATCTGATCTGGGCTCCTGGTCAGGACACTGGGTAAGGATTTTACCCCTTCCACTTGTTGATCCCACTTTCTTTCCCTTGCCGTCGTTATATACAAAGGCTTTCCTCGACCGATCTTTCTGCAGTGCTTCTCAGACTAACCTTGCCCCTTTCTCCTTCCCACAGATACGCCCCAACCACCTTCCCTGGCATCACGGAAGCCGTTCAGGCCGGCAACCATGCTCTAGCTCAAGAGTTCGTCGAGAAGACCAGCAATGCCATCTACGTTGCTGCTGGAATCTTGACCCCATAAACTTTCCTTTTAAATATAAATATCCCACGCAAACGACATTAATGGATAATGAATGAACATATGCTTTGGAAAATGAACATATTGAAACGGTACATATATTTACATGACATGCAGCCTACCTGGGTTGTACGAAAAGAAAACAGAAAACAGGAAGAAAAAAAGAGAGAATGACGAAGGAGTTTTACACCCAAACGGTTTGCCTGTGAGCACCTGCTCCTCTTAGTGATAGTTTATAATCAATCAATATACAGTTGCTCCTCCATTACCTATTCTCTTCCAGCCTTTTACTGCATGGATATGACTCAAGCTTTATGATTATTCGGTGGTAGAAATCGTCCTCATGGTAGCAGATCTCCACAATTCAAAGTAAACAATAAAACTTTCATTCCTCACCAATACAATTTCTGCATTATATTCCAATTACTTACTTTCAAGGTTACTCGTACACATCATACTACCATCCACACACTACTGCTCCGGGTGTACTCCAGCGCTTCCATTGCAACCGTGGATATACATATAGTAAGTAACATAAGAAGATGTAATGTACTAACTACCCCTCATGCTACTATACCTTTCTACAGTTCTGCGTATTTCCGAAGTAAAGCATATATGCACATCTACATGTCAGTGTTCATGGGCGGATACATACATACACATACATGTCACTGCATCTCTCTAAAGAACGATCCTATAGAAGGAGGGAGGGGACTGGCAAAAAAAGCCCAAAAATACTGAAGGTAGTCATGTCTTCCACCCCCGCCCGTCCCTAGTTGGACTGGCCTAGCTGGAGAAGACATATTTCGATTTCCAACCTTCCGAAGAGCTGGTGGTTGGTGATTGGTGCCCATGTTTTCCTCTCTAAAAGTAGTAAGTAACCTAGTTGGTGTCCAGCAGGAGGAGAAAATAGAGGATGAGGATCTGAAAGGACGGGCGGAATGAACGGGGGGCGGCGGGTAGTGTGCATGTGTGTGGTAGGTAGCACTGCCTTGATACTTTCTTCATTTAATGTATGGATTACTGTACCCGTTAGCCCCCGTTTACTTGAATAATAAGATAGTATCAGAGTATGACACCAAAAAAAAGAGGCGTACCGAGTACGCGGGCGAGCAGATGTTGAGTTCGGTTCAATTACACTACTTATAGCTGTATACCGACGTTAGGTGGCGGGCGAATTATTTTGTATAACGATACAGGAACGGGGCCCGAACGGGTTTAAACATCTTGCTCTGGTTTTGTTTTTATTCGCATATTACATTGCATAAATGGTGGAGGACCGGGGATATGTGTCAAAAGGATGTAGGTGTTTGGTGTACGGAGCAAACGGACAGGCAGGACAGGTCTCGAATGATTCTTTCGTCCATTGTGATGGGTTTTAGATAGAGTAAGTGGTGGTTCATGTGTAGCATAGCATGCCTGGGAGGTGGTATTATGTTTTTTTTTTTTTTTTTTTTTTTTTTTTTCTCTTGCAAATTGTGAGGAGTACGATCCATCTTGTTAGGGAGAATATCATGGCATGCGACACGTATATCCGATATATGTAGTATTGAGGAGAAAAGTGTGAATGAGAATAGGGCCGTCAGATAAAAAAGGTGGTTGGTTAATCTTTGGATAGATGACCTCGAAGCCATGCAGATGGGGAACCGGGAGTGGCGGATTTAAAACCAAGATCCGAAATTCCTTGAAACGCCTTGCCTGCTAAGCAGAAGAAGGGGGAAATAAAACGTATGAAAAGGAAGGAAGCCATTGCTCGAAATGTAGTGATAATGGGTGAGCAGTGCAGTGCAGAACAATAGAGCGACAAAATATGCAGCCAAAACCTGGCCAAGCAAGACCAGCAAATCGAAAAGTTGGGATGAAAAGGAGCATGTCATCATGCATAATCGAAAGCCCAGAAAATCGTGATGGTAATGAAGGAAACACATCCCGAAGTCGATAGAGAACGGAAAGCGGCCGAGAACGACACGATAAAATACTACGATAACAGCTTATGCTCAGTTAATTCCAAGCCTGCCAGCTGCTCATCAAACTTCTTTAGCGTATGTTCAATTGACGGAATGGCACATTTGGCATGGTCGTAATAATAAGTGCTTGTGCGTTGGGCGGCCGGGAAGTACAAGCCATCTCTGAAGCGGTGGGCGAATTGCTCAAAGCAGAGGCCCGTAAAGGGAGGGTCCGGCCGGCTGGGGAAGAGATGAAGGGCTTTCAACCGTTTCGTCAAGGCCCCTAGCATGAGCGAGTCGCATTCAAAACTGCAATGCTCTTTCTCGAGGTAGTCTGCTAGCTGGGCGTGGAGGAGGGAAACTATGCGGGATATAGAGTCGATGCGTTGACTGTTGATTGCATCTGAGGTTGCAGTTCTATTAGCATAGGAACGATTCTGATGCTTCATAACTGTCTATATGTTGTGTTGAATTGCATTTTCTAGAAAACGAAGCTGTATTAAATTTATTCACTCACCAACAACGGATGCGGGAATAGGAAGGTCTCCTAATGGGAGATTCTGCCTGCCTTGTCGTAGTGCGAGTCGAGTTAGGTGTTTGAATTCTTTGGGCCGGTTGAATACCCAGCAAATGCATATCCACCCGGGGATATCTTCCGTGTATGTCTGGGGGATGGTGGGTTTGAGTTTCTCGAACCAGAAATTTGCAAAAATCTCGACGGCTTCGTGGACATCATACTTGTCAGCTAGAACTGAAACCTGTGTATATGTATCAAGGTCGAGCTCTGTTGGAACCCTTCGCATGTAGCCATGGATTATATTCAAAATGATAAGAAAGGCATCGGGATCATCGGCAGGAAGAGGGATTTCAACGCTCCCGGTTTCGTGAAGCGCGTTACATTCGCTGAATTTGCGCTGAAGCATGGCACGGAAAACCGTAGACGCAAGAATTAAATGCCGCGAAGAAGCTCGTACCAAAACCTCTGTTTGGCGGGGCGTTAGGTCTGTAGCAAAAATGATCATCTAAGGGCCAAGCTGCTTATTCACCTTGCTCGCAAGTGAGTATATCATTGTGATCTGCTGTATTCGGTAGCTCTGTGTCTACAGCGACAGGGCCGTTTTGTTTTGTGACAGTACTGTCAAAGTCGCCCCCTAATTCAGATATAATCTCACATTCGAGGTATCTTGTCATGATAAGCATCACATCGCCATCCGGGTCAAGGTTGTGGACCTCGGGGGCCATACGATCAAGTTTCGAAACCGCGGGAGCAACTGGGCTAATAACTGAAGGCATCTTGAAAACGCATTTAATTAACAGGCGGCAGGTACATTGCAGATTCTTAAGGGGCTTGAAAGTGGAGGAGGGGGAGCAGAGAGTTTATACGGGATTTAAAGAAGGAAACACGAGGTTTTAGTTCTATTACCTCATTATGGCCAAGAGTACAGCGTCTGCTCTGAGGAATCCTGGCCGTGTGATGGAGATGGGGGAGGGCAGAGGGGGCTTCTTCTTCACAGGTGAATCGGGAACCCATGTAGGCCTTTTCCTACGTGGCAGCCGTTATTTGCTGGTGAATCTCGGGCAGATTAAAAGAACACAGCCGTCCGTTGCGCAGGCATATTGAGCATGAGCTAGCCGACCTGGTAGTCACGCTGCATTTGAAGAAAAGGCAATGTGTAACCAAACTAGATTCCACAAGTAAAATTCCAAGATGGGCCAACTTTACAGTTAGCCATGTTCAGAACCCTAGTTGCCAACATCATAACACACTCGCAGCTAACTCAACCATAGAAATGGTCGACTCGGTTCCAGATGCCATAATCACATCAGCCCCGGTATGAGGTTAATCGCCGCGGGCAATCTTGAATATTCGTTTAAAGCAGCAGGGCACGGGCCTATGGCCATGACTCTGATCCATTGGGGAGCAATACCAAGAGGTAGAACTGGTTGTCACGTTGATATTCCGTCTTGACTACATCCGTAGATAGTAGTTGACCCAGCTCGTACAAAGCAATCCCTGCAAGATTGGCAATACAGGAGCCACAAGATCCCGGCAATCCAGGGTCAACAATGTTGGGTAGCACTCAGTTGGACCTAGGGACTGGTAAATAAATCGAAGCCAAAGAATTTCTCGGGTGCTAGCTGGGCATTAGGAGAGAGAGCTGCATGGGTAGGGGGTACAGGGAATTTGTTACAGCTTAACATCAAAGAAATACCCCTGAGGCTTCGCGCTGTGGGCGTGGAGATGGGATGAGATTCGCTGGAGGCGCGTCAGCGAGTGGCGGCCCGAAACAGGAAACAAAGAAACTCCTTTCTAGTGCAGCCATTTCTTCTTGTCACAGCCCCAACGCAGGTGGGTGCAGAGTCCTGCATAACAGTCCTAGCAATCTGTACGGAGTACTCCGTACAGAACTCCATATCTCTCTCTCTCCAAGTCAAAGCGTCGTCGCCAACCAGAAACTCGCTGGGAACCAGTTAGGCGGTCATGTGACAAACCCTAACTAGTTAATTCGATTTGTCGCGCCGACTCCTGAGTTGCAACGAGCAATAATAATAATAATAATGAATCAACTCGGAATTGTATAATCTTTGTCCACCCTTGCAACTAGAGCTGTGCCATGATAGGGCCATTTGGTTTGACTCGTTATTGGCCGGAACAATGGCTTGGTGTCCTCCCAGTTAAAACCCCATGAATTCGGATATCCTGCACCATCACTAGCCCAATCCATGGTAGCTGAAAATGTGAAGCCATTGGAACAATGAGTGGATCTAAGGTCTAGGCTGCCTATTTTCAACAATTGTTTTGCTGGGAATTTTGAACATTTTCGTTGATTTGTTACTCAATCTAGACCTAGTAACTTGGGCCTGAAATACTGAAATACCCCCCAGCTTTGATCCGACTAGCTAGGACGGGACGGTTGTGCTGCTTTTTGTTTATCTGGCTCCGTTGTATTTCCCTCTTACAAGTCCTAATACTTTTTAACGGGAGAAAGGTCAGGTATCGTATCTACATTATCTCGCTATGCAATCCGGGAGCTATCTGCTTCATGCAATCGAGAGCGAAACTGTTTCCCAAATCTTCGACCTCCCCGCCATTTAGGTATTAACGCATCCAAGTCTCAGCAACAAGCCCCGGGCCAATGGGGAACCGTGCGATGGTCAAATCCACAACTGTGCCCTGCATCAGTCGCCAGGGAGTTGATTCTACCAACAAAAAAGACTCTACATCCGTCCATCAAACCAGATTAGTTAGCAGCACCTTACTATGACGTGCCAACAGAAACAGAGCATCAGAAATTCACCCTTCCCCTTTCCAAATAAACCGAAAATAGTCAAGTGGATTTAGAATCTCATCACTAAAAGATGAGTTTATATATCCCCCAGTAAAAGAAATTATACTGCAGAGCCATGACAGCTCGTGACAGCTGACAACCTTGAAGGGGATCGCTTGGCCTTGCTACCGCAAACCTCCAATTATTAGATATGGCCTGTTGTTCAGTGCGCCGCCGTGGCATCTTGATCTGTGGGAGATGCTCCGCGTGGCTCTCAGAGTATGGGCGGGTACCCTTTCTTTACTCCTGGGTTTGGCTTAATGCGCGTCAGGGAGCGCCAGCGCTCCCCACGATGTGCGATGAATCGGGAGTAGCCGGGAAATATTTCCCAGATCATCTACAATATTTCACTCGACAAAGTCGAGTCGCAGCAGCTCGACAGCCGACATCGGCCTCGGATTTTTATAGAGAGTTCTTCGAATCCAAGGCTGGGATAAACCCCCAAGATGACTCTGTGGGGGGAACTCTAGTACCTCTTCACCAGTCCATTTGTTCTTCGGTGAGCGGCGACTTGCATCAGCCCAGTTGGAATTCCTATCTAATGTTCTAGCCAGTCCTTTCCAGGTATCTTCATCAAAAACACCTCCCCCATGGCCAACCGAGCTGCACATTAGGCACATATCATCTACGTCACGATCCGTTTTAGAGTAACTTAACAGTAGCGTAGCTTGTTTAACTTATCCCAGAACTAGGATCCGACAATTCCTATTCACCGATGCCCCAGCGCCACCAATCAACCTGCGGGGAATGATTGTATCTACAGTATACAAAACAATATTATATATTTCTAGCCAAGCACTAAATGTGGAATACGACGGGCGCTTGATTGTGTCCTTATGACGTTTATCCTAAGCTAGCTTGGATAGGATGGGTTGCAAGGTAGGGCTACGGCTGGTGATTGGCACAGTGGTCAGCAGGTCAAGAGGTCCAAGCTCAGCAACTCTCGATGCACGCCAGATGCGCCTAAGCGTGGTAGCCATGATATGAATTAGTTACATACATAGTTTAAGGAGCGGATCATGGATTTTGTCTGAGGTGGTGATTATGTCACTGCCAAGCTGGGAATGTCGAAGTTGCGGCTCGGATGCTTATTTTAATGCAGACTTTCTACGGATTAGTTCTTGGTTGGACTACCGGTTTAACATAGCAGAGTGCTCGCTCTGCCGGCAACATGCACTGTTCCCTATTGAGACCTTAATATGGATTCAAGGACTCCCAGGAAAGCATGGAAGCCATGCTTCGGAAAGCCTTATCTGCTGTACCGGGTAACAAATCCGCCCTAGAATCCGAAAATACGCGTGTAAATAAAACGTGTACGTCAATAATGCAAGATGCAAGCGCGATATTGATGTGCACATGTACCACCTACGTGGGATAAACCAAGGCGGTGGGAGAATTGGGCAGGGGTGCAAACGACTTTGAATGAAAATGGCTGCGGTTCCTCACAGCGGACTAAAGCAAGTGAACATATTTGAGTCTTCCCCTGTTCAACACGTGGTACATACATACCCGAGGGCGGCAGAGCCACAGACTCCCCTTTGACGTTAAACCTGTACTGACTAGATACTCGTAGGCTTGGCCGTACTTCTCTTTTCTTTTCTTCTCTTTTTCTCTTTTCTTTTTCTTTTTTGCCTAATTGCGTGCAGTCTCCAAAAAGTCCTAATAGCACGTGTGTGTTATGCTAGGCCAAGGGGAATTGGGTATAAAATGCATGAACACTTATTTACGCGGGCATAAAGGAGCGATGGCAGTTTGGTAGAAAAATTGTAGTGGAGATTCGGTGAAGAAAAGCAGCGTGGAGCAGGCGGGCGCCACACTAGTGAACCGGTGGGAGTAGTTAGGTTTGGACGGACTAAGAAGAAATTAAGTTAATTAGGCTCCGTGGCAAACGGGCGTGTAAGCGCTTGAAGTGGACCTTCGAAACCCCCTTATTCAACTCACATTTGAGAGACAGATGTATGCAGTGGTGTTCCCCCCACTCCTCGCACTAATCACGCTGCATTGTGGTTGCCAGTGATGGATTATTAAAGGGCAGCTGTGGCTTGGGAAATGAACCCCTTGTCCCACGAGGCCGAATTAAACGTAGATTTCTAGACTCTGACGGAATCGGCTAGAGGCTTTATAGAAGGAGACAGAAGAATGACGGGAAGTTGGAAATAATGCTGGGGGTCACTGGTAGCATGAGCTCGGAGAGATGCGTAGCATACTTAGAGATTTTCGGAAACAGGCCAAGGGAAAAAGAGAGAGAGAAGAAGGGGGGGAAGAATTGATAATGTACGGGGTTTCAAAAGGAGTCATGCCAAAATTATGCATATGCAAAGGTGAAGACATATGAAACCTGTTCTCGCGCAGAACAAGAAAGTTGTTCTCACGATACCCAGAAAGAAAATCTACATGAAAAAGACGATCCAAAAAATGAAGGCCGTAGGTATAACAGTGAGTGTGTATGGTCACCAGTCAAGGGAGGATGGGGATATAGACCAAAAGCGAAAAAGTCATGCCTAATCAACATCCAACAGGTCTTTGCCCTCAACAACGCTAATTATATCACCGGTTATCCCATCCGTGACAGCAATTACTTGATATAAGGTACCTTTTGCCGCAGAAACATGACCGGCGGCATGTTCAACGCAGACTCCATTCTGCTTGATAACCAACTCCTTTACCTCCTTAATGGTACTGCGCTCTGGCACATGGAACCAATCCTTCTTATGAACAATCACATCGGAAGCATACGGAAGATCCTGTAGCGCAATGTCAAAGTCTTTCTCGTCTGAGAGTGCACAAACCTGCGCTGGTGGTATGATTGCGGTTGGAGATAACAGGACCCAAGACCTGGCTGCAGGAGAGCGAACTGCTTTTCTTAAGACGTCCATTAAACTGATTTTCCCTAGTTGCTGAGAGGATTGTGGTGATATAGGGTGAATTAAAGAAAATGGTGTTCCAATACCAGATATGTAACGGTCGTGATTTGGCGAAGGAGCTGGAGTTATTTGTGGTTCTCGTTTCGGGAGCAGCGGTTCTGAAAATATTGTGTTTGCAGATGTCGAGCTAGATGCAGACTCCGAAACTGGAGTCACGGATACAGCCGACGCAGCGCCAATTGCGCCCCCGGGATGAAACGCTTTGAACACCTCTGCTGGACCTCGGCCTGGTGAATTATATAGCTTCCTTGAAGTTGCTAATGCCAATGCATCACCCAGGGTAAGTGCTACTGTAGTAGAAGTCATTGGGGCGGGTAAACCAAAGGAGACGTCTTCATGCTCGTGAACCGGCGCCGACAACAGAATGGGGTCAGGGCTATTTGAGCCAGCTAAAAGTGGACACGAATCGGGATGCTCGTGAGCGGTGATAGCAATTAGTGGTACTGTTTCTGGAAGATGTGGCTGAAGACGAATTAGCTCCGGTGTCCTCCCTGAGAAGGTTATTAAAAGTACGGCGTCATCCTAAATGGTTGAAACAACTACGTTAGACACTATCGCCGATTTCCCACATGTTCACAGGAAAGAATCACAGCAGCAGGGGTAGGTACCGGCCTAATCATCCCAAGATCCCCGTGTAGTGCTTCTGTTGGATGCAAAAATGTGCACTGGACTCCCAGACTGTTCATAGTGGCTACCACCTTCTCTGCAATCTTCCCACTCTTCCCAACCCCGGAAATAACCAGCTTCCCTCCCGACCTCACGGTATTGGCCACTGTCGTCACTGCGCGCTCAAAACTGTCCTGAGCAAATTTATCCGTTGCATAGATTCCTTCTAGGTGCGCTAGCGCGGCCCGTTCCGTTGAGATGACGTGAATTGCCGTGCAGGTCGAGGGAGATAGGCAGCCTCCTGGTGAAACTAATGGACCATCCGGATCCGGTGGGGTCATTGGGAGGGAAGGGAAAACACCGTTAATTTTCGGCATCTGAGTCCGGAATGGAGGTGAGGGGGAGAAAGCAACGCGCCGCCGTTTGCGGGCCATTGGAAAGGACGTCATTTCCAGTCTTTCACACAGATGGAGATTGAAAAGTATCGAAACGGATACTACTAAGTCTAGTAAGAAAGAGGAAGAAACAGGCGTATGTTGCAAAGCACCATTCGAGCACGATAAAAATAACTAAGGAAAAGGGGTTTCCTGGCCGAAGCCGGAGAATTGCTCTATAGCCTCATCTTTCCGCTCAAAAAAGAGAAAGAAAAAATAAAGAAAGAAAGAAAGAGAGAAAGAAAGAGAGAGAGAGAGAGAGATAGAGGAGTCTGACAGAAGAAGAAACAGAGGCGATTCGCAAGTGCATTCATAAAACTGTAGATTTGGGGGCTGTAGTATCCGATAGTCGGGTGGGCGGATGACTCGGGCAACAGGAGGGGTTTGGTGAAAGGAAACCTGTAAGGAAAGTGGTAGACAGGAACTGAGATGGCCAGAGCAAAGCTCAACCTCACCTGGCGATCTACTCTATGAGAGCAAAAAGGAATGGTGCTCGATGGTAGAGAAGAGGAACAAAAGAGAGACTCGGGGAGACGAAAAGAAAGTTTTAAACATAGCTACAGCACCTTTTGCATTGGACTTAACTAGTGAAGTTAGGATAAGACTGCTTAGTCATTGGCGGGGTGGTGAGATTGCCCAGGGCTAGCCTCGGAGTTCACGAATCCCGCTGGGCAAACAACATGAAGGCAATGACAGGATGCAGAAAATATTGCCAATGGAAGATAGATATAACGGGATGGATATGCCCTTCGACTGTTATAAATATCCTCCTCCCACACAGTATATTGCTCATTGCAGTGTAAATTTTGATGATTCCACATCAACGGAACGTGAGAACTTGGCGCACTATTGGTTCCTAATCCCAGATTGCAAGGAATGCATAAAACCGTAAAAGGAAGGGTATTTCCGGCTCACGCCGACCCCAATTTGGAAAAATCGTGCGTCCATCTAGTATCACCTCACGTTAATTGGGGCTCCTGAAGCTGTCCTATCACAAGCCATGCACGTCATCGTGGTGTCAACTAGGGTTATGATGCCATCTCATCGCTGGTGTTGTATGAATTACTAATGCAAGTGCGCCAAATATCCCGCTGCTGTGCTCTCAATGGTAGTCATGACATTAATATGCGTTGATCAGAACAATGTGAATTTAGTAATACAATGCGCCATAAAAGCAAAATGAATAGAAAGAAGAAAATATCCCAAACAAACCTCGGGAGGAGCAGAAGTTGGTGCGGCAGGCCGGGTGTATTTTGGCAGTCGAAGCGGGGTTCCAATGGAGATGCATCAACTGATTCGTTGCTCATATTCGACTGGCCCATCTATTTTGAGGTTGTCAATGGCTTCACACCTCTATGGATTGCAGCAATTCCCATGGTGAGGTTCTCATAGCCCCGCCCAGGTGTCATGAAACCAGCTTTCTGGATCATCCCGCGGAATTCCTCCTGGCTTGGGAATTTTTCAATACTTTCAACCAAGTACTGGTAGCTCGACCGGTCGCCTGCCACCAGGTGTCCGATCAAAGGAATTGCACTGAAGCTCCACTGTTTGTACACTTGGTCAAACATGCCATTTGTAACCTTGCTGAATTCCAAACTCGCAAAGACACCACCAGGTTTCAAGACACGAAAGGCTTCATTGAGTGCAGCTTGCTTATCGGTAAAATTCCGGATGCCGAACGCCACAGTATACAGATCGATCGAGTTATCAGGAATCATGGGGATGGATTCCGCGTTGCCCTGCATAAAAG